AAAAGAGGTTTGAGTTAAAGACATGATCTTGGTTTTAGTTGACTTATAATTGATATTTAAAGCTATAGGACTAGATGAAATCACCAAGATAAAAAAGATGTGAGAACTGAAGACTAAGCCATGGGGTGCTCCAACATTAAGAGACTAGGGAGAAGAGCAGACAAAGGAGAATGGAGAAGGAAAAACTAGTGAAGAATGGGAAAAACCAAGAGTTTTTGGTTGGAGAAGCCAAACGAAGGAGATGTATGAAGGTGTAGTGGGTGTTCAGCTATGGCAAACATTAATGTTAGGATAGGTGGGAGGCAGACTAAGATACGATCAATGGACTTAGCAATGTGGGGGGCATCAGTGACCCTGAGAGGAGCTTTGGCAGAATGGTAGGGGTGAGAGCACTCAGATCTGTTGATTACCTGAACTGCCATATTAATGAACTATTAATCTTTTTTTCCTAGACGCTCAGATGTAAAGCAGACTTGTTTTGGGGCTCTCCCGTTCGGTTGCCCTCAAGTCCCAGAAACTGCTTTGTCTTTCTACTTTCACTAACTCTCAAAACAGTTCCTTCCTCTCCCATCCCACAGCTCTGTCCTCATCCAAGTCTTTGAAGAAGGCATTACAAATCAATGAAGAAAGGTTAGGCTTTTTAATAAATAACGCTAGAACAACCAGTTATCCGTGTTTCCCCCCAAAAAGATGCAGATCTTAAGACATATACAAGTTCTAAATGTGAAACATAAAACTTTTGGAAGAAATGTAGGAAATTTGTGACTTTGGTTATTACAGATTTCTTTGATAAAAAATTCAAAGCCCAGGGCGCCTGGGTGGCTCAGTTGGTTAAGCGACTGCCTTCGGCTCAGGTCACGATCCTGGAGTCCCGGGATCGAGTCCCACATCGGGCTCCCTGCTCAGCGGGGAGCCTGCTTCTCCCTCTGACCCTCTTCCCTCTCGCGCTCTCTCTCATTCTCTCTCTCAAATAAATAAATAAAATCTTTAAAAAAAAAAAATTCAAAGCCCATAAGGAAAAAGATTTACTAATTTGACTAAAATTAAAGACACCATTAACAAGTGAAAATAGTAGCCTGGGAGAATATATTTACAACACATAGAGCCAACAAGTGGTGGTATCCAGAATTATAAATTTGATTTGATTTCCTTCAACTCAACCTTACAGAGAATTAGAGAAAGGAAATAAATTCACAAAAGGGGAACCAAAGAACTGATAAACTTTGATAAGATGCTCAATTTCACTATTAGAGAAATATATATTAAAACTACAAAGAGATACTATGTAGTTATATTTATTTATATCCATGAGATTTATATCCATGAGATTGGTTAAAAGTATAAAAGTCTTACAATATCAAGTGTTACTAGGATGTGAATCATTGGAAATTTTCATATACTGCTTGGTATGATCACTTTGGAGAGCATTTGACAATATCTAGCAAATCTAAAAATATGCATACCCTGTGACCCAGCAATTCCACTCTAGTGTGTATCTAGGGTATCTACTGTAATAATCCCAGCTAATGTAGTACACGTAAATGAAGAGATATAAACAAGAATATTCTTAAATATCCCCTTATAATATCTTAAATATTCTTAAATATAAACAAGAATATTCTTAAAAACATTATTTGTAATTGCAAAATGAAACAAGCTAGATGACCATCAACAAAAGACAGTTTAAATAAAAAGTATATTGCAAAATGTACTACTATTCAGTTATGAATAAGCTAGACCAATACGTATAGATCTAATTTCTAAGTCACTATTAAATGAAAAAGCAAATTGCAGGATATATACACTTTCATATAAACATACCATTTATGATAAATTTAATAACATGCAAAGTAATATGTTGTTTATGGATATAATATAAAATATAATATTTTATTATTATATATACTAATAATAATATATACTAACTTAGGATAATAGTTACCACTGGGAAGGAAGGAAAAGAATAAGATTGGGAAAGGTTAAGATGCTTCAATTATATATGTATTTTTTTTTCCTTATGCTCAATGGTAGCACATGGGTATTTATTATGTTATTCTCTATATTTCTGTATGCTTGAAATTAAAAAATAATTTAATAAAATCAACATATTGCTAAATTACAGACCTCTTCAGCCTGGCATTCAAGACTTTTCACAATGTTATCCAACTTCCTTTTCTAGCCTCATCCTCTGCTGTTTTCTACAGCAGTGTTTCCCAAGCCGTGGACACATACATGCTTCCTTCATTATTTTTTTATGTATGTCATCTCTGTTACGATTAATGGTTATTTTTCTTTCCATAGTTTTTAACTTAAATAGCCTTGTCCAAATCACTAACAGGAAATCACATGTTTAATATGCCAGTTATATTTTTCTAATATGAATATAAATAAATACATATAGATTAAAATATGTATGCTGGTGCTACCTAAAAACATCAAGTATCACACTTTGGGTTGCAATCTTACACCAGTGGTTCTCAAATTTGTTGTACAAGACTACTTGGGAGGCTTGTTAGAACTGGAGACTCCCAAGTCATAGAGGATCCTAATTTAGGCAGTCAGAAGACAGAAATGCTACTCTACATGTACCCTTGGCACCTAACAAATTGGACTATCTGCCATTCTCTAGACAAGCTCTACGTTTTCCTTTTCCAATACCTTTCCTCTTGTTACTTCCTCTGCTTGAAGTAACCTTCCTTCTCCTTAAGCCTACACTTTAAGTACCAAATTAAATATCACCATCACAATAAAGAACTTTGACTTGGATGTGACATTGTTCTCATTTCAGCATCCTTCCTTCTGCTGTCAATTTTTTTCTATTTCTGTATGGGTGCTTATCATATTCAATGTAATGTATATGTACTTGTCTTATTCCCTCTCCTGGCCTATAAATGCTACTTGAGGGCAGAAGCCTTATACCTGTTCAAAAGTAGGGATTATGGCTTGGTCATTTTATGCTTTCAACATGGTAGTTACTCAGATACTTGCTGGGCTGAGCTCTGCTAAACATTAAATTAATTTCAAAATTTTTATTAATATTTTAAAAATCATGTAGTATAAGGCATTAGAATACTCATCCATACAGCATTACAAATTAAACATGAGAATCTAGGCTACCTAGCTTTATTTTCAAAATGAGACAACTGAAATTATATCCTGCATTGAAACAAATAAGTTAAATTGTTTTAATTTTTAAAGAGAAAAAAATAAGTTTAACATAAAAATGCCAAGTTCAGTTTTTTAGATGAAAAGGAAAACTATTTAACTTAACAACCTTCCAAGCAAAAGTAAATGATCAAGTTATTAATCAACAAAGAGAGTTTTTGATACTGCTATGAAAAGCTATTAAGAACAACACTATTATTAAATAAAGTTAATTGACTCTGGCAAAATTCTCAGTACTTCCAAATGATATTTCAATATGGTTTCCCTTTGTTTAAATATTGCATATTACTCTGATGCATCATGAGCAATAATTTCTAAATATTCTTCGCATGTAAAAACCATAATATATATAAATATATACACTTAAAATATATAGGCAATATATTCTATATATACATATATATATAACCCACAAAAACTGTAAGTTTTAATCAGAAAATATCAACATGCAACTCATTTGTTCATCTTGTTTCTTCAATTTGGTAATAATTTGATTTGTTTCTATTCCAGGAATAGACTACTTTACTGTTTTAAACACACTTATTTTCACCTAGAGAGAAAATAAACTAGTAGAAACAGAAACAGGCCTTCAGATGGGAAATGGTCATCAACATCACTCTACATTATAATATCAGCTGGATTTGTGTATTTTAGCACATATTTGACATGATACTGAATTGCCAAAGAAAAATTAAACAAATGTATATACTAACTTCAAGTAATTAAAAGAGGGGGGAAATGGAGAAGACACATTTTGTTCCGTTCACTTGGCCCTCTGGGTTAAAAAGGAGAATGAAAAGATGACAACTATGAGAAATGTAGAATAAGGAAAGGTTCTCACAAATCTCATTTTCTCCTCTCATTCATTTTTCTGTCATCTTCCTGTTAAATTTCCTCTTTTGCAGGGCAGGTCAAGTAAACTAAACTTAGCTTGTATGAAACTTTTTTATTTAACTTTTCCATTCTATTCTTACATTGTAAAAATCAAATTTCAACCCATCAGGTCCATTTCCCAGAAGAAAACTAACTGGAAATTAAAGCAGTAATGAGTACTATTACAGCTGAGCTCAAGTTAAAAATTCCAAAAAATGAGTCTAGTATTGGTTTTACTTACCATAAAATGATAGCCTATAATTATTGATATTAATAAAGACAGCCATCCAGTTATGCTTACTTCCTAAGTAATCTTTTTTATTTTCCAAAGTATTAAATATAGACAGACCTTAAGGTTCTTAAATGTTTTAGCAGTACTCAAGGACCAAAAAAATGCAGAAGTTTAAAGGTAATGAGAGGGAGTTAAATAAACCTATTTCAAAGATCCTATAAGTAGAACAGATCAGATTAGACAAGCTTATTGGAAGGTAACAACACAGCTCATTTTATAAACCAGTTTTGAGAAATCCAAAAATACCATTTCTCTTAAAAAAAAATCAAAGAAGCACTTGGACTAACAAGAAATAATGCACAATTTGGCTTGATCAAATACTTCATTAATTTTTTTCTACTCCCTAAGGTATTGCCCTTTTAAAATCCTCTTCAAATAAAATATAACCTAATTGCTTGCACATGGCTAGTTTGCAAAGGGATTTTTATTTCAACAGTGCCACCTAGTGGAGCAATTGATACTTTCAACTGGTCACTAGTTGGTTTCACTAGTCTCAAAGGCTAGGAGTCCCCAAATAGTTTTATTTTCTGGTTCACAATATTCCTAATAATATTAACATTCAAGGGGAAAATTTACAAAAGAATAATTTACAGATTTTTGTCCTCTGATAGGTTATCTCTAATAAAAATTAGGTCTTTTACAAATATTATTATATTTCAAATAAAAGTACCTTAGTGATTTCTTCAGAAGCTCGTTTGAAGTCCTGAACATTTCGACAGTAAAATCCTATTGTACAGCTAGGATCCATTTTTCGAAATGACATCTTTTTGGGAGAAGGACAGTGGAATGTCTGCAATTTTAAAAGTTCTTTAGGATTAATTTAGTTTTATTTGATGGACTTGAATATATACAAGATATTACTTAATTTAAAATTTGCCATCTAGCTTTTCTCATAAATATGCTTTCAAACAGTGTTTTAGTCTGTCCTATGTAAATGGTCCTTTCCACTCTCCAAAGCTGTAAAACATGACAGCCAACATTGTTTACATTCGATTCAAATCTCCACCTTCTGTGGCATTAGAGCCATTCTGTAAAAGAAAACACGTGTGTCAAAGTGGTATGCATTTCTAACACTTGCAGAAGGGAGGGAAAATGTGCCACTGGAAAAGACATACATAAGCTAGTACAAGGTTTAGAATCAAGTTAGTTATTTCTATGAAAATTCAATTAAACCTGGGGTTTTGGGGGGGGGTTTTGAGATTTTTTTTAAAAGATTTTATTTATTTATTTATTTGAGAGAGAGAGAAAGAGAGCAAACACAAGCAGGGTTGGGGGGAGGGCAGAGGGAGAAGCAGATTCCCTGCTGAGCAGGGAGCTCGATCCCAGGATCCTGAGATCATGACCTGAACCAAAGGCAGACATTAAACGACTGAGCCACCCAGGCGCCCCTTTTTTGAAAAATTTTTTTTAATGTTTAAAACCCTTTAATAAGGATACCAAGACTTTGTAAACAAATATACAGATTTATGTAAATGTTCCATTATGATATGAAAAGAGGTCAACTTCAGAGTTTTAGCAGTTGACACAATCAGTACATAATTGCATATTCTCCCAACCCACTCTTCTATGCTTTACTTTAAATTGTTTATTCCCATATGGGACACAGTTGAAAACTGTTCTGTTATAGTCCTTGCTCTCCTCCTTACCATTCCTGTCCCTTTAGTTCACTTTTCTCATGTGGTCACAGTGCCACAGATATAAATTGGCTGGGGAAGCTGCGCTAGCCTCTCTGCTCTTGCTAATGGGATACAGATAACTGGTAGAGTCTGGGATCTTTAGAAAATACAAAAGAAAAGGGAAGAATATAAAGCTAATCACTCCAGTCTTTTTTCCTTCACCACCACATTCTGGTGCTTTGCCTAAAAGATTTTTTTTTAACTGCTTGAATGCTCAGATATCTTGTCCTTAAAAATCACTGAGGCTACCAAAGTCTGTTTTTCTGTGTATAAAAAAATGTTTACATGTAAAAAAGGAGGGCCATATAAAATATATATATTCATATTTGTTTATGTTTGTATAAATGAACTGTAAGGATATACCAAAATTAACAAGTTTAGGGGACAGAGAGAAAACTGGGCAGATGGTAGACAGGTGTGAGAAATTCTTTGTTGTATATTCTGTATTTTTTAATTAAAGAATAAGCTCAATTAAGAAATGATCTAGGGGGCACCTGGGTGGCTCAGTCGGTTAAGCATCCGACTCTTGATTTTGGCTCAGGTAATGATCCCAGGGTTGTGAGATGGAACCCCCATCTGAGTTCACGCTGGGGATGGAGCCTGCTTAAGATTCTCCCTCCCTATCCCTCTCCCTTTGCCCCTCCCCCACTTGCTTGTGCACATGTGTTCTTTCTCTCAAAAAAAAAAAAGAAAAGAAAAGAAAAGAAATGATCTAGGCTGAATTTGAACCCATAAAATTAAAATTTCCCTATATTTAATACCTAAAACGAAGGGATTTTAACTTGAAACTATCTATTAAAATACATAGGCTTTCATATTTATGTTCATGGTAAATCAGTCAAAAATCACTCTTTTCTCTCCCCCTATATCCATCCTGGTGATCCAATTAGTGTCCCATGTTATCACAAGAGGATATGCAAAATGCATACATTCAAGCTGCTTTTTTCCCTTGTAGATAGTTCAATCATATATTAGATTCAAATCTACTATCACTGCAGTAAATATAGCCAAAAAAATGTGTTTTCAAAATTATGACTTCTATAAAATGCTTAGCCAATACTTACCTTATATAGTGAGATCCAACCTAACTAAACTCGAGTCTCCAAAGTAGGAATCAACACAAGTATTGTCTTAGTTGGACTTTTTTCAACACTGTTTCACCTGCTTTATTTACCTGTTTTATTGAAAACAAATCTAAAAAGGCACAGAAGAGCTACATAAATTTGTTAACAATATACAAGAGTATATTAGTGTATAAGGCACAGAAGGCTCTAAGTCATATTTAAAAAAATTATTCTAGGGGTGCCTGGGTGGCTCAGTCAGTTAAGCGTCTGCCTTCAGCCCAGGTCATGATCCCAGGACCTGGGATGGAGCCCTGTGTCAGGCTCCGCAGGGGATCAGCTTCTACCCCGTCTCCCTCTGCCCCTCCTCCCCACTTTTATTCTTTCTCTCTCTCTCTCTCTCAAATAAATAAATCTTTTTTAAAAAAGTTATTCTAGGGGCGCCTGGTGGCTCAGTCGGTTAAGCCACTGCCTTCGGCTCAGGTCATGGTCCTGGAGTCCCGGGATCGAGTCCCGCATCGGACTCCCTGTTCGGCAGGGAGTCTGCTTCTCCCTCTGACCCTCCCCCATCTCATGCTCTCTCTCTCTCATTTTCTCTCTCTCTCTCAAATAAATAAATAAATAAATAAAAATATTTAAAAAAATAAAAAAGTTATTCTACATACATATAAGCTATCTAAAAATAATCACCCTACTCCTTCCAAAGCCAATAATAAGGAATACTTAGTTTTTACTACTTGGGGATAAGAAAGAAGGGCCAAAGGTTTTTACAGGATCCAACAAAGTATTTTTTAAACTCATCTACAAGGATGTCCTACAGTATGCTAAATTATGTTTTCATGTAAAAACTAGTAAGACTAAACCAAATAGGCTTAGTGTTGTTTCACTGTATTGCCTCAATGATCACAGATAGTAATGACAAACACTACATTGTTATTCCTGGTTGTTTTGATATCTATAAAGATCTTTTTAAATTATTCACAAAAACACAGATATAAATCTCTGATAACTGAAAACTGAAATTGCTATTGAGTGTAACTTTATGAGTACTAGGATTCATATTACAAAGAGGCATTTTATACCATTAAAACTAAAAATTGTATTTTTTCGCTCACCCAAGAAGATTCTGAAGTCAAGCCAACATTAATTGATAATTCAGAATCATTTCTGTTTATTGCAGAACAAGTTAGACTTTAAAATATTTTGCCAAGGGGTGTTACACAGCTATATTTACTTTGTGATAATGCTTTGAGCCATGTACTACAACTGCTTTTTTAATTTTTAAAATTCTGAAGATTGGTAAGAGTAGCACCCTCTATAAACACATTTTAGGGAGTATTTACTAGATACACTTCTGTGACGATGAAATATGTTTCTGAAAAAATTAGTCAAGGTGAGTCAATTCCCATTTATTTCATTTTTCAATACATTATTTATTCACTGCCTCAACAAATAGTTATTAGGTGCCTACTAAATACCAAGTACTGTTCTAGGCTTAGTTTTTTGGAATAGTGGATCCTATTACCTAAACATACAAATAATACTGAAACAAATACTTTTAGGTGTAGCTATGCTATTTTGGTGATTTAGCTGGAGCTTCCTAAGATAGTTAGAGAATACCCTTACTATAAAGCACCTCCTACTAACTGCAGTTCACATGTGTAATTCATAAAGGGTACATCTTTCACTGATGAATTCACTCATCCATCTATCTAATCATATCACATCATTCTTAAGCTTTAATGTCACTATTCTTTGATTTTACTAGGGTAGATTAAAATAATCACCACTGCGTGGACATCCTAAAATCTGAAACTTGAAACTGGGGGCCCAGGAATCACAACAGACTAACATGTCTACTAATAAGACTTTTCTTGCATTATTACTAGATTATTAGTATTTAGTAAATCAAATATTGTCTTAATAATAGAATAGAATTTGGGGGATGGGGGGATGGGTTAGCCCAGTGATGGGTATTAAGGAGGGCACGTATTGCGTGGAGCACTGGGTGTTATACACAAACAATGATTCACGGAACACTACGTCAAAAACTAATGATGTACTACTGTATGATGACTAAATAACATAATAAAAAAATGCAAAAACAGAATAGAATAGAATTTGTTATTTATAAGAGTTAGAACCGGTCATTCTGAAAGTGTATCATATATAACATGAAGCAATAGTCTCTGGTTTGAGAAATCTTATTAAATACACACACACACACACATAAATATATACATATGAAGATATATATCTTCTAGTCCTCTCATCCTGAAAATTGATACTCTGCCTGAACCATTGACAGTGGAAACCCACAGTTCAACATACCCTCACTGCTAAAGCCCATTTGAGTTCTTCTCATTCCCTTCTAATTTCAATTTGTCTTTTCACAACTTTTTTCCTTAAGGTAGTTCATACTGCTCCTTTATAGCCCATTCTCTATATGAAAATTATAGATATATATACATTCATGACTACTTATGTTCACTTAATGTCAAAAACTCTGTGAAGATAAAGATGAGTGAAATTCTCTTCTACAAAGTTAATATAAAAATTCAATAGTATATACTAATATATTTTATAAGAAAGTATCACAAGAATGGAAAATTAATACATAATCAAAGGGAAGAAAAGAATTCAACAGACGACTAACTATAGTGCTTAGGACAGTGCCTTGCATATGGAAAGAGCTCAATAAATGGTAGTTTAAAAAAGAATACATGAGGGGTACCTGGGTGGCTCAGTCGGTTAAGTGTTTGACTTTGGCTCAGGTCATGATCTGAGAGTCCTGGGATCGAGCCCTGTGTTGGGCTCCCCACTCAGTGGGGAGTCTGTTTCTCCCTCATCCTCTGCCCCTCCCCCCACTCATGCCCACTGTGTCTCTCTCTCTCAAATAAATAATAAAATCTTTTAAAAAAATAAAAAAGAATACTTGGTCTGATTTGGTTTCAAAATTTTAAAAGTTCAACTCTAAATATATAGGAATTCACTACCATAAGAACAACAAAAGATATAATCTGCTAAGTCTCCTCTTTAATCTCAAATATTCAGATATCATACTACTTTCTTAAATTTTCATAATTCTATTGGACTCAAAGCACTTACTAAGTGATTACTTACATGAAATTGAATAAAGAGCTAAGATTTTAATTTCTCCATTTATTGACCAAAAACAAGTATTGATCAAAAAAAGTTTCTTTCAAAAATAATTTTGGGTGCCTGGGTGGTTCAGTTGGTTAAGCATCCAACTCTTGATTTCAGCTCAGGTCATGATCTCAGGGTCGTGAGATCGAGCCCCATGTCAGGCTCCATGCTCAGTATGGAGTCTGCTTTGGATTCTTTCTCTCTCCCTCTGTCTCCCCCCCCCAAATAATAAATTGAATCTTTAAAAAATAATTTTAATCATTGAGGTGTAAGTGTGGTTTTAGAATGCTCATATAATTATGTCAAACAATTGCAAATTTTCAATAGCATAAATACACAGAACCTATATAACAAGCCAAGGATGGCTAATAATATAGGGTAGTTAAAATACCTCCAGCTGGAGCATTTTAAGCTTAAAATATGATCAAAAGCAAAAAGTAAAATTTTATTCCTGTAGAAAAGCAACTTGCTATAGTTTTTATATTACACTCTCATAGAAAAATAAATGATACTATTCACTAAATAGCCTAAGATAAATCCCTGAACTAAGAAAAATGAAAAACTGTCCAAAGGAATTACCCAGATAGGTGGAGATACTCTACCAGCATCTCAAAAATATAAATCTAAACCCACTTTCTCAGTTGTCCTACTGTATAAGAAATAAATGCTTCTGTGCATTTCAGAAGTTACATAACTTCACCAAACTTTGCAAAGTCTCTTCAAATCATTTCCTCTTTTCCGTTCTCATGACCAACACCCAACTTCAAGCTTGTATTGATGCACCTGTGAAGTGTTGCACCTGCCTCCCAATACTGAGCTACAGGCTTTCTAATATTGCTAGTGCAGACATAACCAGGGTAGTCACTCACCTGGTTCCTTTGTAGAATCTTCCAAAATATCAGATGAATAGTCCTTCTCTACTGGTTAAAACAGTCAACAGTAATAATCTTTTAATTTGCCTATTTTAGATAATATTAGAGTGCTATGAATAATTTTCCATCTGAATTTCAAATATCTACTTTTTTAAGGAGTTAATATGGCACAGTGGAAATGTAACTTAGACACAGGAATCAGTGCCACAAGACCACCACGCAGCTGAAAGAAAATTACAACGTGGTTCACACAGCAAAATTCTGCCACACCTCCCACAGTATCAGTCAACTAGAAATATTTATTAAGGTCTACATGTAAGAAACTATGAGGGAAGAAAACAGAAAGCAAACCTTATGTCTGCCCTTAAGATACTTGTACTTTTAGTTCAGGTAATAGTTTACAAAGAATGCTAGGATGTTTTATAATGTATCTTTCAGAACCAGATTTTTTTTTTAAGATTGATTTTATTTATTTATTTGTTTGTTTGTTTGACAGAGACAGAGCACAAGAAGGTGGAGCACAGAGGGAGAGGGAGAAGCAGGCTCCCCGCGGAGCAGGGAGCCCGAGGTGGGGCTCCATCCCAGGCCCCTGGGATCATGACCTGAGCCGAAGGCAGATGCTTAACAACTGAGCCACCCAGGCGCCCCTTAGAACCAGATTTTAATCTTACAGTTTATTTTCATAATCTATCCTTTAAATACTACTAGATATTAAAATTAGCTAGGAAGCTATTACCAAAATAAGTATTAAACCATATTTCCTTGAGAATTAGTGATCCATGCCACTCAAGTGATTACGATTATTTTAAAAGTCTATAAAAGCAACAACTGGGAAAACAAGAACCAAAACCATGTAATAATTACATGTCTCACTTATGCACTCTCAAAATTTTCTTAATTAAAATACTGGGTCACTGGGATGCCTGGCTGGCTCAGTCGGTAGAACGTAAAACTCTTGATCTCAGAGTTGTGAGTTCGAACCCCGCAGTGGGCATAGAGATTACTAAATAAATAAATATTTTTTAAAGTAATAATAGGGGTGCCTGGGTGGCTCAGTCATTAAGCATCTGCCTTCGGCTCAGGTCATGATCCCGGAGTCCTAGGATCGAGCCCCACATCTGGCTCCCTGCTTTGTGGGAGGCCTGCTTCTCCATCTCCCACTCCCCCTGCTTGTGTTCCCTCTCTCACTGTGTCTCTCTCTGTCAAATAAATAAATAAAACCTTTTAAAAAATAAATAAATAATAAAATTTAAAAATAAAATACTGGATCACAAATGACCCAACATAAAGGAAAACAATATGTTAAGAAATCAGACCTAAAATGGGCACGTGGGCGGCTCAGTCAGCTAGTCTGCCTTCGGCTTGGTCACGATCTCAGGGTCCTGGGATTGAGCCCCACATCCAGCTCCCTTCTCATTGGGAGTCTGCTTCTCCCTCTCCCCCTCTCAAATAAATAAATAAAATCTTTAAAAAAAAAAAAACAAAGCTGGGGCTCCTGGGTGGCTCAGTCGGTTAAGCGTCTGTCTTCGGCTCAGGTCATGATCTCAGGGTCCTGGGATCAAGCCCCACATCCGGCTCCCTGCTTGCAGGAAACCTGCTTCTCCATCTCCTCCCTGCTTGTGCTCTCTCTCTCTCAAATAAAAATTAAAAAAAAAAAAAATCAGAGCTAAAACAAATACCAGAAACCCAACTTAGCTCTTGAAAAACTCAACTAGGGGCTAAGACTCAACTATTATACTTAAAATAATTTAGCAGGTAGTCTCAAGTCACTTTGTCATTCTAACCCAACTCCATCATCTTTTTCTTCCCCCCCTTTTTCTTTTTATTAAACATGCCTAACATTTTAAATTCTTCAGTGATATTTAGCTGTTTATCTACAAAATAACTTGGAGGCTTGATCATTTATTTTGGTAGGGCTGGGATATCTTCACAAGTTAGAGACAAAGACAAATGAAGAAGAAAGTGTGTCATAAATTAAAATTCAGCAACAAATTATTTAACCTTTGACCACTGTGTGGAGAATGGTTTTATAAATCAGTAAAATATTATTAACTTGCAATACCATACATCTCTACATACTCAGAGTTTGCTTCATATGATAAGAAAACAGTACCAGCTCTTTATCCATAGTACCTCAAGAGGGAAATCCTTTATGCTGACATCTACAAAAGATTGGCAGTAATGAGGATCCATGTAAATCAAACTGTCATCTACAAGGACAAAACAGAAGACAAGTAATTCAAAAAACACCTTATTATTACACTGCTTACAATCCAATTTCTATGTAGAATAGCTGAAAAAAACCTGGGAGTAACAGCTTGCCAGACTGATATTCATTGACTGAAACATAGGTTTGCACAGGACAGATTAACTTTTGCATAATCAAATATGCTTGTATAAGCAGAATTTTTATAAAGTGATGAGACTGTCATTTAATTTTTGGTGATAAAATTACTTTCACAAACACACAATTATATTCTACAGTTTGCATATGAAAAATGTATTACACTACTTTATCCTGACAGGAAGAACATATTGCTTGTCATTTTATCATCAACTAGCACCCCTAAAACTGGTAAAAAGTAAATATGTAAATAGTAACTGCCAGAATGTGGCAGCAGTGTCTTCTGAAGTTTAGTGAAACCAATAAATTATGCCTGTTTATGCAATAACAGAAATTAAACATACATTTTACAGAATCCAATTATGTTGTGGACCAAATGACAAATGAGTGGCTATGGTAGGACTGATGAATTTGTAAGGTACTCATTTTGCTCTGTTAATCATCCTGTTTCCAAATGATCCCAAATTAACTTTCTGACTTATAAAAGAAAACAATAAAGAAATATATTTTACTAAATCACTGACCTTGAAATCCAGCAAAGTAGTATGACTGTTTAGGTTTGCCACCAATAATACCCACACAATATTCAAGGCTTAAAACACCCTGCCAAAAGAAATTAATTTAATTCAGATTTAGAGTCAAGAGGCAAATGGTAATTATTCAAAACAACCAAATTTGTATTAGCAGTATTAGTATGTATAGTAGTTCCCAAATTTTTCACCACCAGTTTTACTGTTACTACATACACCCGAATATTTTAAAATCCTTTTATCTACCACACTATTTTCCATTTTCTTTAAATAACTCAATATTAACATGACTAAATCATCTATTCTGATCAGCATGTCACTCAACAACATTAACAACTACTATGTGCCAGATACAGAAATAAATAAGGTCACCATATAAAGGCAATAAATCTCCTGCCAGAGCCAAAACACTTGGCCTTTGGGTTAGCTGGTGCAGCCTTATCATAACATAGTATTTTCATCAGGCTTTTTGAAATACTAGAAATAGTCCTTAGACCTTATCACTGTTTTCACTGAATCTTGAGTCTTAGAATCCTAAGCTACAAACCATTTTCTAATCAACAGCATTCATTTGACACATTTTTATGCTATTTCACAAATTTATTGTAATACACATAAAGACAAATGAAAACAATTTAATCCAAGGCAATTAATAATTGTTAATGCACTTAAAGTTAACTTAATTTACTCATCATAAAATATCAGGGATACCTCAATAAATTATTTAGTGTGCCCCTCAGCATCTATTCTAAGTAGAATTCTATTTAAGCAGGCCAAATAATTCTAAACCTTTTTTTAAAGATTGTCTTTTTGTATTGTATTATTTATTTATTTATTTTAGAGGGGGTGCAAAGCGGGAGGGATAGGGAGAGAGAGAATCTGGAGCAGACTCCAAGCTGAGCATGGAGCCAGACGTGGGGCTTGATCTCACAACCCTGAGATCATGACTTGAGCTGAAACCAAGAGCCCTACACTTAACCGACTGAGCCACCCAGGTGCCCCAATAATTCTATATCTTTTAAAAAACATGTCCAGGGGCGCCTGGGTGGCTCAGTTGGTTAAGCGACTGCCTTCGGCTCAGGTCATGATCCTGGGGTCCTGGGATCGAGTCCCGCATCGGGCTCCCTGCTCAGCGGGGAGTCTGCTTCTCCCTCTGACCCTCTTCCCTCTCGTGCTCTCTATCTCTCATTCTCTCTCTCTCAAATAAATAAATAAAATCTTTAAAAAATAAATAAATAAATAAATAAATAAATAACATGTCCAGTGGAATCATGTAAAGTCTTGTCAATAGTTTAGCTTATATCATGCATATATATATATATATAGCATATGTTATAAAGTTAGAAAACATTAATAATGATAAAATGCACATTATAAAACCCCAGAAATATTAAATAATAGTTGAACTTTCCTTCTCTTAAATGACAGGATGTTTTGAAATCTAGAACATATAAAAATAACAAGTACATGGGGTGCCTGGGTGGCTCAGTCGGTTAAGTATCCAACTCTTAGTTTTGGCTCAGGTCGTGATCTCAGGGTTGTGAGATGGAGCCCCGCATCAGGCTCCACACTCAGCAGTCAGTATGCTCCAGATTCTCTCTTTGCCTCTTCCTTTGCCCCTCCCACTGCTTTCTCTCTCTCTCAAAATAAATAAATCTTTAAAATAAATTAATAAAAATACAAAGTATATGAACTAATACTTTTTCCCCTCTAACAAGTAATCAAACCATGGAGTATTTTTTTTATTATTTTCTTAAAAATAATAGGTGGTTGGGGGCGCCTCGGTGGTGCAGTCAGTTGAACGCCTGACTCTTGGTTTCCACTCAGGTCATGATCTCAGGGTTGTGAAATGGGGCCCCACATAGGGGTTCACACTCAGCACGGAGTCTGCTTGAGACTCTCTCTCCCTCTCCCTCTGCCCCTCCCCGCCACACACACATTCTCTCTCTCTAAAATAAATAAATAAATCTTTAAAAAATAATAATAATATCTGGTTGTTATTTTAAAAACAATATATATTAAAAAGTAAAAATTGGGGGGCCTGGATGGCTCAGTGTGTTGAGCATCCAACTCTTGATTTCAGCTCAGGTTTTGATCCCAGGGTCCTGAGTTCAAGCCCCACTTTGGACTCCATACTTGGCATGGAGCCTACTTAAAAAAAGAAGTAAATATTTCCTGGATGCCTGGCTGGCTCAGTCAAAAGAGCATGCAACTCTCGATCTCAGGGTCATAAATTCAAGTCCCATACTGGATGTTGAGATTACTTAAATAAACTAATTTAAAAAAAAAAAAACTAACAATTTCCCAAAACTCCAAAACACAGAGCTCATCATTATTAATATTTGGGGAACACCTTCTTGAACTTGATCTGTGTTACACAGAGATCACATAGAGATTTATGAATACAATCTTATGTATGTGGCTTCACACTACATATGCTGTTTTAACTTTAGTCACTCATTATGTTGTAAACATCTTTTTCTACCTATAAATATAGATCACTAGTATAATACCTAATGGCTGTAAAATATTCGATTTTATGAAAATAGCTCAACATGCTTTAAAATCTCCATCATGAGTATTTGTTTCCAGATCCTCCCTGTTATAAATAACCCTTTAGAGAAAATAACAACTTTGTATATTTTCAGTCATGTGAAAATATCATAGAGGTTTTTTGGAAAGGAGAACTGCAACTAAAAAAGTTAAATAAAACAAAGAAGGCATTGGTTAAAATTTTAGAGCTAACAAATAAATTAATCTGAAATTATACAGAAAATAATAAAATATTATTCTATTTTTATTATTATTCCATTAATAGTCTGTTGTTCTGTTCCTTTCCCCTCAAATAAAAATCCTTAATTAGAGAGTGCCTTACTTCAACTTGAGGCAGTCTGATCAGCTGACACACAATGTTTCTGACAGAAAGAACCATGAGGAAGTGAAAGTTCTTAGTCCCTCATAGCCAAGAAAAGAAAAAATATATACAGCAAGAATCATCAGTGACTCTCCTCAGCAAAAAAGAATGACTCCAAGTAATGGAATAAAGACTTTGGTTCCTGACATCTATATTTTCTTTGCAACAGACTAGAGCAGATTTAGCAATAAACACTTAGAAGCAGATTAGGAACTAGAATGCCATTACATATAAGAGACTGTATCTTTGGAAACCTGAAACACTCTTCAGTCCTAAAAAATCTTCTTCACAGTTATCTAGTGGTGAGAATTTATTGAGCTATACCCATGAAGCAATAAATAAGACTGAAGTAATCAGTCAAAAAGAAAAGTCCTAATTTGTCTTGTTGGAGAAGGAAAACATATTAGATTTTCCCCATTCCAGGTCTTTTAAAATATAAATAAATAAATAAATAAATAAATAAATAAATAAATAAACTTCCTGAGCTAAGAGCTGATAAAGCATCACACCACGTTTCTTTCTCCTCACAGAAAGTAGCAGGGGATGGTCCCATCTCTGAAAGATTGGAATTACCTTGATTGATAAATTTGAAAAATAGAACTGAGTGGTGAATTCTAGAGAGTACAAGCGCAATGGTTTGGCAGGAAAAAATACAACTGCTGAAAAAGAAGGAGGAGGAAGTGGAGGGAGAGAGGGAGAGGGAGATGGAGTAGGAAGCGTGGAATGGTGGTGGACATAGAGATGGAGGAGGAGGAGGTGAAGAAAGAGAAAGAATAGAGGAGGAAGAAGAAATGAAAGAGGAAGAAGATTATTCTTCTTTTAGGACTACCAGACACTCTATTTTTTCACTTTCAAGTGAATGCCTCTTTACAAGTTATCATTTTGGCTTTTGACCCAACCAACCCCTAAGCAAACATAACACATAGCATATAACCTACTTCCCTCAGCCATCTCAGCCATTTTTTGCCGATAATTAGAAAAATTAAAATGTATAAAATGTATAAATTAAACTGGTAGAAGCTCAAAGAGTATTACATTTTTAAAAGTCCATATTTCAGGGGCGCCTGGGTGGCTCAGTCGTTAAGCGTCTGCCTTCAGCTCAGGTCATGATCCCAGGGTCCTGGGATCGAGCCCCGCATTGGGCTCCCTGCTCAGCGGGGAGTCTTCTTCTCCCTCCCCAACTCCCCCTGCTTGTGTTCCCTCTCTCGCTCTGTCCCCTTCTGTCAAATAAATAAATAAAATCTTTTTAAATAAATAAATAAATAAATAAAAGTCCATATTTTAGGAGCGCCTGGGTGGCTCAGTTGGTTGAGCATCCAACTCTTGGTTTTGGCTTAGGTTGTGATCTCAGGGTCGTGAGCCCACATCAGGCTCTGCACTCAGTAGGGAGTCTGCTTAAGATTCTCTCTCCCTCTGCCCCTCTTCCCCACTCATGCTAAATAAATAAATAAATAAAATATTTTTAAAAATAAAAGTCCACATTTTAGGGAAAAATACAAAAATAAGAAAAATTCTGGTCTGTTACCAGTTTGCTATCTGAACTTAAACTTACGACTTAACATCTGTCTTTTCTGTTTTATAAAGATAAGATAGTTCCTAGCTGTTGTGATGGCAAAATGAAATATATCTGTATTAAAAGTATTACACAAATATGAGCGTTAACAAGTATTTGTTGAGCAACTCCTATATGTTGGGTACTGAGGATCACTTTAATAGCTAACTATGGTTTGTTTACTACACTTCAGGCTCTAATAAATCATTCAAGAGCATGAGGCAGTCCTACCATCTGATAAAAAATATTAATACCACCAAGTAGCAAAGCCCTTAGCTAGATGAAACATGCCTTAAAGCCATCTGCAGCCCATTCCACTAGAAATGGGGGTTTGGCTAAAGGAGTCAGTTCCAAGATTGTCTCAGTTTCTAGTCTTTTCATGGTTATAGAAAAGGCAGAGGGAATCTAGTTCAGACTTGACTACAACCTACTGAGACATGGCAACATGCCAGAAGTCTCAAAACCCTCACTGAATTTGCTAGATGAAATGGTTCATAACTTCCCACATTCTACCATTAACTTTACTACAGAGCCCACATGTTAGAAATCAAAACCCCACTTCTACCTAGGGGATTCATATGTTATCAATATAGTATAGTACTGGTATTATTAGTAACATGTATGCCTGCAGAATTTTAGTAACTATTACAAAAAGCCAATATACCAGCTAGAAAACTTCCGTATCTCATGTATTGAAAACAACTGCTCTAGATTTTTAGAAACAGCAGAGTCTATAGTGAGGATATATGTTCCACTCATATACACATGGACCATGAAGCTTCACATGGGGAACAAACTGTTACTGAAACATAAAAGACAAATTTCAAGATTAATATATGCCATAACACTCCATTCAAAGAGAAATTCCATCTCTGGCCCTGAAAAGATGAGAAACTTTATTAAAACTATGAAAATAATATAAATACTATAATCTTAACCAAAACTAAGTAATTCAAAAGTTAAAGTTTTGTGCAAAAAACAGAATCAGACCTATAAATACAGAGAGAAGGGAGGCGGGGGAGATGGGCAAAATGAGTAAAGAGGAATGGGAGAGACAGGCTTCCAGTTGTGGAATGAAAAAGTCACAATCATAAAAGACAGCATAGGGAATATAGTCAATGACACTGTAAGAGCATTGTATGGTGACAGATGGCAGCTACCCTTGTGGTGAGCACAGCATAACATATAGAGAAGTTGAGTCACTATGTTGTGCACCTGAAACTAATGTAACATTGTGTGTCAACTATACTGAAATTTAAAAAAATCCTTGTAAGTTAAAGTTGTGTGACAACTGAACATCTTGGTGCCCAAAACAAGATAATATAATTAGACAGGTTCATCTGGAAAAAAGAATTATGTGTTCTCAAATAGAACAGATTTTTAACTGGTTAATATAAAGAAAACCAAGATGGAACCTTCCCCCATACTATCTTCATCATTTCTGTCTATATAAATAAATAGTCTCTACTTATTGACCTTATGGTGGCACAGGAATCAAGTTAAGAGATAAAACAGCAATAATAGCAAACTCAGTTTGTTTCAATAATTATCTCAAAATGGTTTAATGTGGGTTTTATAAATAAAGGTACACACTTTCGAACAATCACAAATAGGGATAATGGGTACTGTAGACATATTACAGATTATGATTATTGCTGCATCTATGTCTCCTTGATTAGCTACAAGAAGTTTAAAAGGCTTTTTACTTTCAAATCATATTTGAAAGTAAAATATTCAAATCATATTTGATCTTACAATCTGAAATCATACCCTTCAAATCATATTTGATCTTACAATCTGAAATTTAAAATTTCTATTATCAAGCTTTATAAAATCATCACTACCAATTTCATAGAAAAAAAGACTGCAAACCTGTATTTTTCATATTAGCTAACATTACCTTAAAAAAAATGTTATTTCATACCTTTACAAAATCTAAGTAGTCGGTGTTGGTTCTTTCCCCACCAAGTCTAACAGGGATTAGAATAATAACAGCTTTGTCATCTATATTACCAGAGGCCATGGAAGTGCACTGTTTATCAATTACATCAGAACTGTAAACTGAGAAAAATACAATAAATATGTATTAAATTTTATAAAAATGATTTTCAGAAATATTTTTACTCTAATCCCTCCTCCCCAATGGCCAGTCATCTAATCTCTGATATCACTATCAAGGTCTCAATGAATTAAAAAATGTCTACCTCGTTTATACATTCAGCAGGTACTTACTGAGTAGCTACTATATGGCATTAAGGGTTTCACCAGTGAGCAAAATAGAGGAAAACCCTGTCCTCATAGATCATATACTCTAATATAAGGAAATAGACAGTAAATTCATAAAATATAAAATATGTCAGATGGTTGGGGCGCCTGGGTGGCTCAGCTGGTTAAGCATCTGCCTTCGGCTCAGGTCATGATCCCAGGATGCTGGGATCAAGCCCCACGTCCAGGGAGTTTGCTTCTCCCTCTTCCTCTGCCACTCCCTTCCACTTGTGTGAGCTCTCTCTCACTCAAATAAATAAAATCTTAAAAAAAGATGTCAGATGGTGATGAGTGCTTTGAAGAAAAAGGGAGAAAGATGGCTAGGAAATGTAGGCGTGAGGGGGTGGCAGTTAAAATAAGGTGGTAAGGAGGGCCTTATGAAAAACCTAACATTTAAGTCAAGACAAAGTAAGAAACCAAGAAATGCCAAAACTTGGGGGAAGAGCATTCCAGGTATAAAGATCAGTCAATGCAAATGCCTTAAGGCAGAATCGTAGCCAGCATATTCCACGAACAAGAGGCCTGTGTTTCTGGAGGGAAGTTGGCAAGGGGTAAAATAATACGAAATAAGGTTAGGAGATAAAGTAAAACACTGGGGGAGAATGAAGACAGATTCTGTGAACTTTTTTTTTTTTTAAGATTTTATCTATTTATTTGAGAGAGAGCAGAGCAAGAGAGAGAGCACGAGCGAGGGTGAGGGGCAGAGGGAGAAGCAGACTTCCCGCTGAGCAGGGAGCCCCATGTGGGGCTCCATCCCGGGACCCTGGGATCACGACCTGAGCCGAAGGCAGATGCTTACCCGTCTGAGCCACCCAGGCGCCCCAGATTGCATGAACTCTTAAAGGCCATTTTGAAAGACTGCAGTTTTTACTTTGAGTGAGATAGCATGCTACTGAAGAGTTTTTTAGAAAAGGAATGTCCTAATCTGACTTACACTTTAATAGTGTGGTTTCTGTGTTGATAACAGACTGTAGGGGCAAGGGCTGAAGCACAGAGAACAGTTAGAAAACAGGGCGCCTGGGTGGCCCAGTCAGTTAAGCATCCAACTCTTGATTTCAGCTCAGGTCATGATGTATAGGGTCCTGAGATTAAGCCCTGCATCAGGTTCCACATTCAGTGGAAAGTTTGCTTGAGAGTCTCTCTCTGCCTCTCCCTCTGTCCCTCCCCCTGCTCACCGTGCTCACATGCTCTCTCTCTCTGTCTCTCTCAAATAAATAAATGAAAGGAAGGAAGGAAGGAAGGAAGGAAGGAAGGAAGGAAGGAAGGAAGGAAGGAAGGTAGCCGCAGTAATCTAACAAGAGATGATAGTAGCTCAAACAAGGGCAGGAATTGTGAAGGTAGGGAACAGTCATGGGATGGTCATGTGGAGCTGGTTAAAAGTGATCAGTAAGTTAAAGAACTCCTTAATATGTTAAATGCAAGATGGGAGAAGAAAAAAAGGAAGTCATAGGTGATTGAATGGCTTTGGTCTAAGTAAACAGAGTAAGAGACATACCATTTACAAAGACATACTATAGACAACTATAGGAGGGGAAAGAGTAGGAGAATTGGGGATTCATTTTAGACATGGTAAGTGTCCGATATCTATTAAACATGCAAGCGGGGAGGAGGAGTAGACAGTTATGGATATAAAAGCCTGGATTTGGTGAGAGGCCCTAGACATTTGGGAGTTGACAGCGTATAGATGGTCCTGTAAAGCCATGAGACCAGGTGAATTCAAATCTGTGTACAAGAGAAGAGGTCTAAAGGCCGAGTGCAATTTTAGAGATCAGGGAGATAAGGAAAAGCAGCAAAGAACACTGTGAAGGAGTATACACTGTAGAAGGAAAACCTGAAAAGTAGCATTCTAGAAATCAAGTAAACAAAACATTACAAGGAGGAGAAAGTGGTCAACTGTGTCAAATGCTGCTAGTAGATTCTGTGATGTGAGGACTGAGAAGTGACCACTGGATTTTTAGCAAGATTAAATTATTGATAAGAGCAGTTTGGGTAGAGTGAGGGATGTGACAGCCTAAGTAAAATACTTCAAGAGAAAACGGGAGGATTTTGTAGAACCAAATAAGCTTTCTTCAAACTCCCTGTTTGAAGAAAACCAAACTCGTCTACTCTTGTACAATTAGCTGATTAACAAATTCTGCTACTTGTGCCCCACTTGTCCCCTTTAAATTCCAAATTTAGGTTATGAGCTATCAAATTCTTCTATTTAGCAGCTTCCCTATCTCCCATAATCAATCTAAACCAAAGGTACAAAAATGCAACAATAGTTCTTTCCATATTTCAATTCTATCATCTTACTTTTTCCAAACTACTCAGTAATGGATTCTAATTATAAACCTTTAAATTCTCTAATTTTTCTGAGGCAGCACACACATGACCATCCCTATCTCTGACTCTTCTGACCTAATAGATACTTTAATCAAATGAGCCTTCCCTTCAGAAAACAGATTGCTGGTTTCCAGAGGCAGAGGGTGGGGAAGACGGGGAAATGGGTAAAGGGGGTCAAAAGATACAAACTTCCAGCTACAAAATAAATAAGTCATGAGAATGTAACATACAGCATGGGGACTACAGTTCATAGTATTATGTTGTTATATTTGAAAGTTGCTAAGGGGACACCTGGGTGGCTCAACTGGTTGGGCGTCTGCCTTTGGTCTCAGGTTTCAGGTGGTGATCCTGGGCTCCTGGAATCAAGCCCCATATCTGGCTCCCTGCTCAGCATAGAGTCTACTTGTCCCTCTCCCTCTCCCTCTGCCCTTCCCATTTGTGCTCTCTCTCTCTCTCAAATAATAAAATAAATATAAATATAAAAATAAAAAATAAAATATTTTTTTAGAAGTTGCTACAAGAGTAGATCTTAAAAGTTTTTATCACAAAAAAAGATTTTTGTGACTATGTATGGTGACAGATGCTAATCAGACTTACTGTGGTGATCATTTCACAATATATACAAATATTAAGTCATTATATTGTACACCTGAAACTAATATGTCATATGCCAATTAAATCTAAATAAAAAAGTATAACCAAATAACTGATAAAAATTAGAATTATATACATTCCTCACCTGTACAGTCTTGTGCAACATAAATAGTTATTCCTTGTAAATCAGGGTGTCTTGCTTCTTCAACTGCTTTTCTAAAAAAAACAACATGTATCATCCTTTAAAAGCCTAACATTTCCAGTTAATAATTAAAGATTTAAGGGGAGTGGCGCCTGGGTGGCTCAGTCGTTAAGCGTCTGCCTTCAGCTCAGGTCATGATCCCAGGGTCCTGGGATCGAGCCCCGCATCGGGCTCCCTGCTCGGCAGGAAGCCTGCTTCTCCCTCTCCCACTCCCCCTGCTTATGTTCCCTCTTTTGCTGTGTCTTTCTCTGTCAAATAAATAAAAATAATCTTTAACAAAAATTTTAAAAAAATAAAGATTTAAGGGGAAAGAAAGCCATCTTTTTTTTTTTACTTATTTAACCTATAGTGTCTGCTTTCAAACTATTATCTGAATGGTATCAAAATCTGGTCAATCCTTTCTAAGTAGAGTATTACACTAAATTACTCAAAAAAGGGGCGCCTGGGTGGCTCAGGTCATGATCCCAGGGTCCTGGGATCGAGCCCCGCATCAGGCTCCCTGCTCCACGGGAAACCTGCTTCTCCCTCCCCCTCTGCCTGCTGCTCCCCCTGCTTGTGTTTGCTCGCTCTCTCTCTGTCAAATAAATAAATAAAATCTTTTTAAAAAATAAATAAATTACTCAAAGAACATTAAACCATAAGTTACAGGGTGGCTGGGTGGCTCAGCTGGTTAAGCCTTGGACTCAATTTCGGCTCAGGTCATGATCTCAGGGTCATGAGATCAAGCCCCAGATGTGCTGCATGCTCAGCGGGGAGTCTGCTGGAGATTTTTTTCTCTCTCTCTCTCCCTCTGCCTCTCCCCTCCTCCTGCTCACTCTCTCTCAAATAAATAAATGTTTAAAATAAATAAATAAATAAATAAATAAATAAATAAATAAATAAATGCATGACTTTTTTTCCCTTCACTCAAAAACCTATGTAACCTGAACAAATGAATTTCCTAATTTTGAGTCTTAGAATTCTGTAAGTAAAACTGCAAGTTGAAAAATATTTCTCAATTAATATAATGTTCTCAATGGTGCACATGATTTGAAAAAAGTCACATTATCTGTAAAAAGAAATTACACAAGTTGGAGAAATAGAAATATCTTTATTTAACTGTATCTTTATAATTTTTTAATTTCACATGACTTATTATTTATGTTTGTATGTGTTAATTTAGAAGAGGGATTGGCAAACTATGGCCCATAGGCCAAATACAACCTGTGGCCTATTTTTGTACAACCTGCAAGCTAAGAATGGCTTTTATAGTTTTGAAGGGTTGTAAAATAAAAAAAGAAAAGAAAAATGGTCAACAGAGCTCTTTATAGTCTGTAAAGCCTAAAATATTTACCATGAGGCCTTTTACAGAAAAAGTGTTCTGATCCCTGGGGTATAGAACATAATATCTTGAAGAGTAGAAACTAAGCTTTTATAATTATGCTTTTATAAATATCATACCAAGCAGGACTTGATATATTATTAACAATCCATTTAATAACATTAGACAAATACATTTCCATTTGTCAGCATCTGGCCTATAAAATATAAAAGCCAGCTAATATGCAAAAAATGTATAATAATTTCTAATTTATATATTATTTTAAATGGAGTAAACTTACTATAACATACTATATTTGGGTGACATATTAATGATTCCATTTACAACAATGGGACACACAACAAATAAGACAACTTTTTTTTAAATTAAGCAGTATCCAAATGGCACATAAAAGGCTGAGGTACAGTGAAATTTGACTTTCGACTTTTTTCTAAGTACTCTGAATGTCACAGACCCTTTACTTTTACTATGATATAATTATAATATTAATAGTCCCATACATTTACAATTCACAAGAATCTGATGTGTGCAAAGAAATGCTGAAAACATCAATTTTAGCTCTTGACATTTCATTACACTATCAGTACATTACAGCCCCCAGGTTACACTATTAAAAAAAAAAAAAACTATAATGTTATGCATGTTCCAAGGTTGAAAGAGTTGTTAGTTTTTAGAACATTCCAATAAGGTAGTCTAATGAAAACCCGGTTAGAGAGGGACCCTGGATATCTATCCCCATGAACAAAAGAGGAAAAATTCGTCACAGATATATTAAATGTAACTAGAGTTGCAATGTCTTGTTTTTTCCTTATTAGCAAATGAATGCTTCCTTATGAATATTCTCAAACAGTAAAACTTTAAAAGTTCCAATTATATATATGCACTGCAAAAATCAGTATCTCTGAGCCTAAGGACCTCTGTCATAAGATGAAAGATTTTAATACAATTTTACCTTAAAATATGAGCAACCACAGCTGGTCCATACCAATCTCCAGCTTTTTTCCCAGACTTCTTTCCATATTCTATTAGTTGATGTAAACCAAAGAGAGCCAAAGGGGAATCACCAAACCAAGAGATGATTTTCCTGTGATAAATTTCATTTCGCATTTCATGATCAACAGAATATCTCCTGATTGTTTTCTTCTGAGAAACTGTTGGGGTTTTGAGTTCTCTTTCCCCTGAAAGTGATGCTTCAAATGATGCAGTAAATTTTTTTACAGTGTTGGAAGTCCATGATTCAGAGTCTGAATTTTCAATGTTCAAAGCATCAGGCCAGGTCCAAGCTAAAGTAGTTCCAAAGCAAGGTGTTCAGATCTTTTAATAGATTTTAACAATTCTACTAAAATAAGTAGATAGCATTTAAAGTCATATAGGTTACTAAACTAAAATAGTAAACTCAGAAGTAGGCAAATTTACAGAGACAGAAAGTAGATTAATGGTTGCATATGGCAAGCAGGGTATTGGGAGTGACTGCCAAAGGGTATGAGGTTTCTTTTGGGGATGATGAAAATGTCCTAAAATTAGGTGATGGTGATGGTTGCAGAACCCTGGAAGCATACCAAAACCACTGAATTGTTTACTTTAAATAAGTGAATTTATGTTATGTAAATTATATCTCAGTAAAGCTTTGAGATAAAATTTAAAAAATAATATTGAGAAATAATTTTTAAAAAATAGTAAACTCGGGTACAAATAAACAACTCCGGAAAATGCTTTTCTTTCTTTTCTTTTCTTTTGACAGTGCTGAAATGGAATGAGGACTTCTGTACTCCCTTACCAGTACTATTTATCAGACATCCAATCTTGACTACCCAAATGCACAATAAACATATTTACTAACATTAATGAGAGAATAACTTCAGAAAGTAGATTTTAATTTGATTATATGTTAAAATAGAAGTCTTAACCATGGAAATTTTAAATTTCTTTTCTTTGTCCTTTTCTCAATCTTTTCAAAATAATCATTGTTTAGGGAGTAATATCAATTCTCTAATAAGTGAAAAGTTAATAAATAGAAGTCATTAAAGATCAAACATACCCCCAAAACCAACTATATTCACTACTTCACAGTTTTTATGACAAGACAGTTCCAAGCACACATATAACTTTAAGTTAACAAAATGAATCATAGATTCAGAGAACTAGTTAGGACTATAAAAAATATCCCAATTCTTGCCCATGATTGCACAAGACTACAAATAAATCATCCCAAAGTTTAAAAATTATTTTTCTTTGTATTATCCATACCACTCTTGAATAAACATTCTCTCTAAATAATTTCATCAATAATCCCTACAGATAGGTTACCAAATATTTGCCATGCATTGCAGGGAAATTATCTAACACTTTAAAAATATGATAATACTTAGTAATAACCATATATGATAGCCTAAAATACTAAACTAAAATCTTCCTACAAATGTACAAATTATTAAAAATGGTAAGAAAGGTTTTTCTTTTTTAAAGATAGATATATGTAGGGGCGCCTGGGTGGCTCAGTCGTTGGGCATCTGCCTTCGGCTCGGGTCATGATCCCAGGCTTCTGGGATCGAGCCCCGCGTCGGGCTCCCTGCTCTGTGGGAGGCCTGCTTCTCCCTCTCCTACTCCCCCTGCTTGTGTTCCCTCTCTCACTGTGTCTCTCTGTGTCAAATAAATAAAATCTTTAAAAAAAAAAAAGAATATGCCTAATTAAGTTAACTGATTATAATCATATTTGTAAAGATAAAAACATTTTAAAGCATTATTGATATATAGAGAGAAAATAAAGAAACCGGTTTAAATTTCTTAAGATTTAAATAATATAAAAATATCAACTATCTGCTCAAAGTCACTGCTATTGACCTGCTCAAGATTTATTGAACTGGAGATAATCCAGATAATTCAATCAAAAAGAACTAAATAATAACAACAACAACAAAAAAAAATCCAAAGGCTACTAAAAACTTATACTTACATGTAAGTCATATCTAGCCTAGTTCAATAAAGATGGAATATGCTAGATTAGTTACAACTTTTAGAAGATATCAGGAAGCCAAGAAATTAACCATAAGAAATTTTACACAGTTTGCAAGCTGGAGTTCAAATTTAAAAAAAACAAGCAGGTTGCACCTGGGTGGCTCAGTCGGTTAAGCCTCTGACTCTTGATTTTGGCTCAGGTCATGATCTCAGGGTTCTGAGATTGAGCCCCACGTCAGGCTCTGCACTGGGTATGGAACGTGCTTAAGAATCTCTCTCTCCCTCTCTCTCTGTCCCTGCCCCCCCAAAACAAAGAACAAAACAAAAATCCCCCCAAAAACAGAGATTTGGTTTACCTCTACCAAGAAAGTGTAGTACGAGTCCTTGAGCCAATAGCATCTGGCCAGTTCTTAATGTACAGCCCCAACCACAGTCTGTTGTCAAAGCCGAGCCTTCTATTTGAGGAAATTCTTCCCTGTAGGTCAACCATATTCTTGAAATGAAATCTTTACGAAATTCTTCTACGTTTCCTGCAATTACATGATCTTCTATTGTACATCCTGATCTTGCAGGTAGCAGTTTATTTTCATCTACAAAATAAAAATATAAACTATAGTCTAAATATATGCAAAGAAACGTCAATAATGGTATTATGTTCCCATTACTGTCCATAAGATATGGAGTATATTATAATTTTTCTAACACTTTTTTTCAATTTAAATGAAGATAAATGTTATTCTGCCTAATCAGGCTATTATGAAAATCAAATAAGAATGGATGCTGAAATGTTTTGTACACTCTTGAACTAGCTAATAAAAGGTTTCATCAGTAATACTGTTAATAATAATATCCTATATTCCAAATATAATCAACTCTTTTATGAGGGGATAATATAAAAATACCTTTTCTTTTTGCCTCATTTGGCTCAGGATATACATATTAGTGCTCTCTAAAATGAGGTTTGCAAATAAAATATGATTTGTCAATACTGAATGTAATCACATAAACTAGTTCTAAAAATCAAATAAAATGTGCAATGTATTTATTGTCATGAATATTTATACTCAAATTATAAAATCAAAACTAAGAAGCTAAAGAGTAAGAATATAAAATTCCTAAATATATAGTTACCCTTTCATGCTGAATACATTTTTTTTTAAGAATAATGTGTTTTGTTTTGTTTTAAGATTTTTTTTTTTTTTTTTTTATTTATTTATTTATTTATTTGACAGAGAGAGACACAGCGAGAGAGGGAACACAAGCAGGGGGAGTGGGAGAGGGAGAAGCAGGCTTCCCACGGAGCAGGGAGCCCGACGCGGGGCTCGATCCCAGGACCCTGGGATCATGACCTGAGCCGAAGGCAGATGCCCAACGACTGAGCCACCCAGGCGCCCCTACATTTTTTTTTTTAAACTGCTCCCACCCACATATATCATTTTAAAAAGCTTTTTCAAATTGATTATCTGTAATACAATTTCTGTGTGAAAATTGTGGTCACTGTTTTCCCAATAATTTACAAAATACTGGGGCTCAAATGAACTAACATTCCTTGATTACTCTCTCAAAATGAACGGACATTGCTTGATTACTCCTAGAGAAAATATCTTAGTCACCTTTACAACCGCAGCATATAGCACAGTGGCTAAAACAAGTAGATTCCAATAAATGTTGCTTGGTTTGGGTGGGTGGACAGATGGATAGATAAATCTGCCTACAACTTTCAATTCCAAGGAGTTCAATTTCCAATGCCCTTCTGCAGGATGTTAAAGCAGTTTTATCATGCTTTTATTCTTTATCCTTGCTGCACCTATCCTTCTTCAAGTTCATTCTGAAAAAATTACAATCACCTAAACTTCATAATATTCAGCTTAATGGAGCTAACTTGTGGCATACAGTTTCAATGACAATAAAAAGAATGACTGCCGAGCCCCCATTATCGATGAATTTCTCTCACTATTTGAAGTTAATTACAAATAAAAATGCCTAGAAATTGAACATGGCCCTACAAATATGTCCAAAATTTCTATTATAGACACATTTAAATTTGTTTGAAATTTGATACAATAGTACGTAACTCTCACACCTCATCCTATGGCTTGCCGAACATACAGTTCCTAACCTCCTACCTTGACAAAGTGATTAATTCTTTATCCTTTTAAGATCTAGTCTCTAAAATTACTCTAAATTTACTCTAAATGTTTACTCTAAATTTACTCCAAATATAAAATTTACAGGGACCTGGGTGGCTCAGTTGGTTAAGCCTCTGACTCTTGATTTTGGCCCACGTCATGATCTCAGGGTCAGGAGATGGACCCTGCATCGGGCTCTGGGCTGGGTGTGGAGCCTGCCTAGGATTCTCTCTCTCCCTCTGCCCCCCCCAAAAATTTACTCTAAATATTATTGGAAAATTGCTAGTACTAAATGAACTTCATTGTCCTCTTGACTTTCCACTATAATAATACTGCCACTGCTATCCCATTCTTTGACTGACTTTTCTTTTCACAATCTTAATTAATTATATCTATAATATTTATCTACATCTGCCTCCCTTCCAAACTTCAAGTACACTAGAAGAGAAGGAATGTTTTCTTCTGCATCCCTAAAGCTCCAGCACTTAGCACAGAGTTCATTCAGTTCATAGTAGATGTGCAATAAACAGTTGTCAGGTGAATGTAAGATAAATGGAACCAAAGGAAGAGGGGTTCTTAAATCTTTGTTTCGCTTTGCCTTTGTTTTTTATGATGGGAGAGATGTGAGATCAGAGCTTTACGAAGCATGGGAAGTCACAAAGAACCACAACAAAGAATGAAATGAAAGCTGATAAAGGAAACAGAAGAGAACTGCTATTAACATTGAGGGTTCAATCAAGGCTGACTATCACAAACAAGCTAATATGAGAAGTAATTATAAGTAAACAAATTATAAAATGAGCCCTCAAAGACTACAGCTCTTGTAATTATCAGATACAGGATAAATTAAGTATGCATATGTTTAAAAAATAGAAGGGTACTGAAAGTTAGACAAACAACAAAAAAACAGACTATTAAAATTGATCAGGCACATAGAAAAGAAAACCAAATGGAACTGCTAGAAATGAAAAATATAATAACTAAAAATAGAAATTTGGTGTAAGATCAAACAGAAAATTATACACCACTTAGGAGATAATTTAAAAGCTAAAGATATTACTCAGAATACAGCACAGAGAGACAAAATAATAGAATATGTGAAAAACCAAAGAATTTCAGAGACACAAAAAAAAAATCTAACAAAGATTTATCAGAGATGCTGGAAAGAATGGGAAGAATGGGGAACAGATATAAATTAAAAGTGGTTGAAAATATTTCAGATTTTAAGAAAGATATGAATTCCAAGGAGAGTAAAATAAAGTTCACACAAAAGACAAAGAAATGATCTGAAAAACAACCAGAGAGGGGTGCCTGGGTGGCTCAGTCATTAAGTATCTGCCTTCAGCTCAGGTCATGGTCCCAGGGTCCTGGGATGGAGCCCTGCATCGGGCTCCCTGCTCAGCAGGAAGCCTGCTTCTCCCTCCCCAACTCCCCCTGCTTGTGTTCCCTCTCTCACTGTGTCTCTCTCTGTCAAATAAATAAATAAAATCTTAAAAAAAAAAAAAACAGAGAGAACAAAGAAATGACAGCTTCAAAATACTAGAGAGAACAACTTGTCCTAAACTAAGCAAGGATTTATTAAACAGAACACATAGTAGTAACTATTTAAGGAGGTAAAATAGTTAACCAGACTATATTAAAATTAAGCACTACTGTTCTTCCAAAGATAACATTAAATGAGTGAAAAAATAACCAATAGATTAGAAGAAGACATTTCCTATAGATATATTCAAAAGAGGATTCATATCTAGAATATATAAAGAAAACTTAGGAATGAATCAATAAGAAAAAGATAATCTAATAGAAGACATATCCAAATGGAAAAATGTTTATGAAAATATGCTCATTCCATTAGTTATCAGAGAAATGCAAATTAAAATCAAAATGTAGGGGCACCTGGGTGGCTCAGTCGTTGAGCGTCTGCCTTTTGCTCAGGTCAGGATCCCAGGGTCCTGGAATCGAGACCCACGTCAGGCTCCCTGCTCCGTGGGAAGCCTGCTTCTCCCTCTCCCACTCCCCCTGCTTGTGTTCCCTCTCTCACTGTGTCTCTCTCTGTCAAATAAATAAATA